TGATAAATAAGCAGGGTAGCACTTAATTTAACTCCGACCTGACGGGGTATTCAGTGACACACAAAGATGGCTAATAGAATGCCGTGACCAGGTGATATAATCACTAACGGGTTCGCAAGGTTTTTATGGACCAGCGTTGAGCGTTAGGAGTTGACAAAATGACTGGGAACAGCGGTTTTCAGGAGAGAGTGGTGTTAGACTTCGGATGGAACATGTGTTATATCGGACCGCTAGGTATTTACTGTGTTAAACTACAAGTGTTTGTGTAATAAGATATTTAGTCAGACGGTAGGATAATTCTAGTGTTAGCTGATGTTTAGCTGTTGTGTTAACTTACATAGCAATCCATTGCTTTAGTGAAGTGGTTTCGCGAAGGGTTTTGTCTTGGTGTGTGACAAGGTCTGTCCCCTTACACCGCCGTGTGGTAGCACAGCAGTCTTAGTGTAAGGTACAGAAGCTTAGGAAAGAACTCGTAAGGGAGACTGTTGGTGTGGACTTTGATAGTAACCATAAGGCCGGAAGGGGCAGGTATTATACTGGTTTGGGGAAGCAGACTACTGTCACTCAGGTAAACTGCTGCATTGCTTGTTGTCAGTTATAATAAAGACTTTTGTTTATGCTCTGGCGGTGTTGCTCTAGGTTCTTGACAATTATGCTAATTATATCTGATGAAATCGGTAACTAATTATGCTTACCTATTTGAAAAACAATAAAAGCACCTGAGTCAGTCAATAATATCATGTTCAGTAGTTATATGACACAGTAAGGAAACATTATAAGACAGTCACAAAAAGGTCAGACAGACAGAAAACTTGCAGTCGCTAAGAAATTACAACGTAATCACTATGAAAATTCACTCTGAAGTGACTCCATATTTATTGATCAGTGAGCTAGTTTGTTTCCTGGCTGAATGTTGACCACCCTGAGATAATCAAGTCTTATTCTAGATGGTAGACCAACAGGGCAGATGGTAGACCAACAGGGCAGATGGTAGACCAACAGGGCAGATAGTAGACCAACAGGGCAGATGGTAGACCAACAGGGCAGATAGTAGACCAACAGGGCAGATGGTAGACCAACAGGGCAGATGGTAGAACAACAGGGCAGATGGTAGACCAACAGGGCAGATGGTAGACCAACAGGGCAGATGGTAGACCAACAGGGCAGATGGTAGACCAACAGGGCAGATGGTAGACCAACAGGGCAGATGGTAGACCAACAGGGCAGATGGTAGACCAACAGGGCAGATGGTAGACCAACAGGGCAGATGGTAGACCAACAGGGCAGATGGTAGACCAACAGGGCAGATGGTAGACCAACAGGGCAGATGGTAGACCAACAGGGCAGATCCCAGATACCCCATTCAATCTCCAGAGAAGTTATAATTAGGGCACCTGTAACAGCTAAACCAGCCATGTGTCACCTGTAGTCATGTGTCACCTGTAGTCATGTGTCACCTGTAGTCATGTGTCACCTGTAGTCATGTGTCACCTGTAGTCATGTGTCACCTGTAGTCATGTGTCACCTGTAGTCATGTGTCACCTGTAGTCATGTGTCACCTGTAGTCATGTGTCACCTGTAGTCATGTGTCACCTGTAGTCATGTGTCACCTGTAGTCATGTGTCACCTGTAGCCATGTGTCACCTGTAGCCATGTGTCACCTGTAGTCATGTGTCACCTGTAGTCATGTGTCACCTGTAGTCATGTGTCACCTGTAGTCATGTGTCACCTGTAGTCATGTGTCACCTGTAGTCATGTGTCACCTGTAGTCATGTGTCACCTGTAGTCATGTGTCACCTGTAGTCATGTGTCACCTGTAGTCATGTGTCACCTGTAGTCATGTGTCACCTGTAGTCATGTGTCACCTGTAGTCATGTGTCACCTGTAGTCATGTGTCACCTGTAGTCATGTGTCACCTGTAGTCATGTGTCACCTGTAGTCATGTGTCACCTGTAGTCATGTGTCACCTGTAGTCATGTGTCACCTGTAGTCATGTGTCACCTGTAGTCATGTGTCACCTGTAGTCATGTGCAGATAAGGACCCCCTTTATCAACCAGTCATGTGTCATCTGTAGTCATGTGCAGATAAGGACCCCCTTTATCAACCAGTCATGAGTCACCTGTAGTCATGTGCAGATAATGACCCCCTTATCAACCAGCCATGTGTAACCTGTAGTCATGTGCAGATAAGGACCCCCTTATCAACCAGCCATGTGTAACCTGTAGTCATGTGCAGATAAGGACCCCCTTTATCAACCAGTCATGAGTCACCTGTAGTCATGTGCAGATAATGACCCCCTTATCAACCAGCCATGTGTCATCTGTAGTCATGTGCAGATAAGGACCCCCTTTATCAACCAGTCATGAGTCACCTGTAGTCATGTGCAGATAATGACCCCCTTATCAACCAGCCATGTGTCACCTGTAGTCATGTGCAGATAAGGACCCCCCTTATCAACCAGCCATGTGTCACCTGTAGTCATGTGCAGATAATGACCCCCTTATCAACCAGCCATGTGTCATCTGTAGTCATGTGCAGATAAGGACCCCCTTTATCAACCAGTCATGAGTCACCTGTAGTCATGTGCAGATAATGACCCCCTTATCAACCAGCCATGTGTCACCTGTAGTCATGTGCAGATAAGGACCCCCTTTATCAACCAGCCATGTGTCATCTGTAGTCATGTGCAGATAAGGACCCCCTTTATCAACCAATCATGAGTCACCTGTAGTCATGTGCAGATAATGACCCCCTTATCAACCAGCCATGTGTCACCTGTAGTCATGTGCAGATAAGGACCCCCCTTATCAACCAGCCATGTGTCACCTGTAGTCATGTGCAGATAAGGACCCCCTTATCAACCAGCCATGTGTCACCTGTAGTCATGTGCAGATAAGGACCCCCTTATCAACCAGCCATGTGTCACCTGTAGTCATGTGCAGATAAGGACCCCCCTTATCAACCAGCCATGTGTCACCTGTAGTCATGTGCAGATAAGGACCCCCCTTATCAACCAGCCATGTGTCACCTGTAGTCATGTGCAGATAAGGACCCCCCTTATCAACCAGCCATGTGTCACCTGTAGTCATGTGCAGATAAGGACCCCCTTATCAACCAGCCATGTGTCACCTGTAGTCATGTGCAGATAAGGACCCCCTTATCAACCAGCCATGTGTCACCTGTAGTCATGTGCAGATAAGGACCCCCTTTATCAACCAGCCATGTGTCACCTGTAGTCATGTGCAGATAAGGACCCCCTTTATCAACCAGTCATGTGTCACCTGTAGTCATGTGCAGATAAGGACCCCCTTATCAACCAGCCATGTGTCACCTGTAGTCATGTGCAGATAAGGACCCCCCTTATCAACCAGCCATGTGTCACCTGTAGTCATGTGCAGATAAGGACCCCCTTATCAACCAGCCATGTGTCACCTGTAGTCATGTGCAGATAAGGACCCTCTTATCAACCAGCCATGTGTCACCTGTAGTCATGTGCAGATAAGGACCCCCCTTATCAACCAGTCATGTGTCACCTGTAGTCATGTGCAGATAAGGACCCCCCTTATCAACCAGCCTTGTGTCACCTGTAGTCATGTGCAGATAAGGACCCCCTTATCAACCAGCCATGTGTCACCTGTAGTCATGTGCAGATAAGGACCCCCTTATCAACCAGCCATGTGTCACCTGTAGTCATGTGCAGATAAGGACCCCCTTATCAACCAGCCATGTGTCACCTGTAGTCATGTGCAGATAAGGACCCCCTTATCAACCAGCCATGTGTCACCTGTAGTCATGTGCAGATAAGGACCCCCCTTATCAACCAGCCATGTGTCACCTGTAGTCATGTGCAGATAAGGACCCCCTTATCAACCAGCCATGTGTCACCTGTAGTCATGTGCAGATAAGGACCCCCCTTATCAACCAGCCATGTGTCACCTGTAGTCATGTGCAGATAAGGACCCCCCTTTATCAACCAGCCATGTGTCACCTGTAGTCATGTGCAGATAAGGACCCCCTTATCAACCAGCCATGTGTCACCTGTAGTCATGTGCAGATAAGGACCCCCTTATCAACCAGCCATGTGTCACCTGTAGTCATGTGCAGATAAGGACCCCCTTTATCAACCAGCCATGTGTCACCTGTAGTCATGTGCAGATAAGGACCCCCTTATCAACCAGCCATGTGTCACCTGTAGTCATGTGCAGATAAGGACCCCCCTTATCAACCAGCCATGTGTCACCTGTAGTCATGTGCAGATAAGGACCCCCTTATCAACCAGCCATGTGTCACCTGTAGTCATGTGCAGATAAGGACCCCCTTATCAACCAGTCAGCCTCCGTTTATGTTTCCAGCAGATTGCAGGGATTCTTGAAGTGTGGAGAAGCAGCTGGATACTGCTCCAGTGTACAGCTGCAAGTTGTCACTCAGACATTCACTTCTACAAATGGCACCTGGCACAGAATGCAAAGTCTCCTATTCACTCTTCTTTTAATAATTTTTGAAATAATGGCACCAGATTTTTGTTTTCTTTTTTTCTTTCCCAAAAAATCTGTAATTTCCTTCAGTTTTATTTAGTTTCCTGGAGTGACCATCATGCACCTGGGAAGTGCATGATGGTCATGAGCTCTTAGAGTTCAGCAGAGCACCAGTTGGCAACTGCTTGTCTGGAGAAAGTTGACCTCACAAACATTTATAGTGAAGTCAGAAACATTCTGTTCTCTTAGTAGAGAAGTACATAACTAGTATAGACTCATTTCCAGAGATTTTCAGAAATGAAAAAGAAGTTTATCTAGAGGCAGTTTGTCCTTGGCCTGAGTTCTCACTGACACTTAAATATCAACCCCTTCAAGAAGAAAATTTTTTATCCTGAGTTCTCACTGACACTAAATCCACCCCTTCAAGAAGAAAATATTTTAAAAAGTAGATAATTGTTTATTTTGCAGCCTTTCTATAAATACAGTCTTGACTTTTGTATATTATCTTTGTGTTTGTCCTAAAGCACTACCCTGATCATGATAAAGGCCTCATTCTGATGGGTGATATTAATGTCAACTACTTAAAAGATTTGGATGCAGCAGAAAAGGTAACCAGTCATCTTCCTGATTATTTTGCAAGTTGACATTATTTTATTTTATTAACCTGTCTGCAAAAAAAAGGTCAGTTGTGTTTCCTTTACAGGACATTGCAGAACCAACCTGAGTATTTTTGGGTTATTGTGGTTTTTCTAGGCAAACTTACCTGCAGTATTTTGCCATTGCTTTCTGGACGATTGGCTTCTCGATACACTGGCGGAACCGGCTCAAGGCCTGCAGCTGGGATCTAACCCGGCACCCCGGCATTACGAAACCCTGCCCTGTCACCAAGTACTGGTGCAACAGAAACATTATGGTGTCTCATGATGTCTTGCTCTATACTAATTACTGAAAGACCCAAAACTCAGTGAAGGTTTGATCTTTTCTGGTGGCTTGTCTATTGGTCTCAAGGGGTGTCCCTCTAAGCTCTCAATAAACTTCTCCACTGGGATGAAGAGACCTAGATATTTGAAAACTGATTGCCCTCTGTTGTTGTGCTAGTCTAGCCTGACTTCCTCACCACTTTAATATTGTCCCCATGTAAACTCTCCAATCAGAGAATGAGAGACTAACAGTCAAATATGCTCCTACTACGCTGGACCGGTCTTTCTTGAGCATCCAAAACTTTCCCAGTGTCTTATCGCCCCCAATCTCATTAATAAAATGTTTCCATTTTGCCTTTTTGGCCTCTGCTGCAAAACATTTGAAAACCTCTTTCCTATCTTTCTTATCTCTTTCCACACACTCCAGTTCTTCCTGCGTGCATTTTTTAATGAACCAATCCATGAAAAACATGAACTTTAGCTTAAAATTCACACACAATTGGAGTAGCCATCCAGCCTCCAACAGCCTTTCTTCCAGAATATTATTAACATTAAAACAACAGTTAGCTGCCGGCGTCATCTGCGGTCACCCTTGACTATGACATGTACGCATTTTACCCCCTCATAATTATAGGTGCTTTACATAATAAGAGATAATAGTTATTAACTTTACTTCCTAAGGTTTTGTTTAAGTCTGACTATATGTGCCATTTATTCAGAAGTAATATAAATTTTAATATCAAATACGGACGATTTCACTAAGCGGAAGTACAGAATTTCCGATGAATGACGGTGATGTGCCGATTTTTTCACATGGTTACCAAACGAGAATGACAACAATGATTCTCAAACTGTTTGGCACATAGGGCTCATGGTCGTTTCTTGACAAAGTTCTGTTGAAGTTTATCTATTTAATAAACGCGTTCGCAAAGCCTAAGCCACAGACGCTGACATGTCTACAGGTTTAGTTTGTATCTGCTTGCAACATTATTGTTACTTGCCCTTTCCATATTGATTGACAGCATACACAATACATTCTTCAGATATACATGATAGTCTGGTTTGGTGTATTGTGCAGCTCTATTTGTGTGTGTGAGAGTGACATTTACCAGCTCCAGGATCACACCATACCCATGCTTTGTCACATCTGATTCAGGGTTTCTAGGCCAGACACAAGATTCCATTGCTTTGTGCAGTAGATACTCTTTGCACATGACTGTTTGTGATTGTTGGCTAAAAATACAAATGATAGAGACACAGTCTGAGTAATGAGAAGACATTGTGTGGAAAATATGGCTCGGTAAAACTCCATGCCTGAAAGATTTTATGAAATATCTTCAATATTGGTAGGACTGTTAGGAGAAGTGTGTGCAGTCCCTGAAACACTAACTTTAAAGAGAATTGCGTTTCAGACTTCCATAAGTATTTCATTTAACCACAAGTTGGAAACTTTTTCAACAGATTCAGTAAATATTGTGCACAATGTGAGAGATTGCAAGGAAGATAAGGTCATTATGTCACCTGAAATGACAATCATGTCCTACATACTTGTATGCATGCCCAGCCTATGAGCATTTACAAAATGTGGGTTGCTTATATGAAACAATGATAATATAGTTAGAAATACTGTATAAATTATTATTAACATGGAAACCATTCCGTTACAAATACCCAAAGATGTTGCAAGAATATCAGACGATAACAGAAACATTTTGAAAAATAGGACCTCCGCTTGAAATCTGGCAGGCCTCATTTGCATAGCCATTTGTAAACAATGATTGTGCCTATTCTATTGTTTTTCTTTATTTCAATAACATCAGTTACCAGTTCAAGCATAAATATGTCATCTCCTTGTGGGATGCAATTGTTTGTTACTTTGAAGCCCCACCCTGGCTTGTGCTAAATATAGCCAGGCCATATTTTCGGGACCTCTGGGTGATCCGCATGGTGGCACTTTGTGTCACCGGGTGTTTATTGCCTGTGTGATGTCCTGGTGGGGTAAAAAGTCAGTCAGTTTAAGCACATGATGGTAACATATTCCATGGTTGATGTTTTTTGTTGGATACTGTGTAATTATGACTTGTTGGATGTGTTTGTGACTGAAGTAAACACTGGCACACCATGTGGCTTCCGTGATTGTTTTGCAACAGATGACACTGAAGGATCATGAGATCCAGAGCTGCAGATGTCAGATTTCTCCAGCAGTGGAACACATGAGCTATTCTCCCTGACAGCTGGATCACGCCCTATGAGTACTGGCACCTGTAGGTTGAAAGAGGTGCACAGAAGTCCTTGATCAGCAAAACGATTTTACAGTCAGGAGCATTGTGTGTAACCACAGAGGCACACACAATAATGGATCTAGGGGAGACAACCTTGATTTATAAAAGCCAAGCTTAAGGTGGATCTACATGCGGATGGACTGAGTGGCTATAGAATTTGTAGTCACAAATGTGGTACATAGGGTTCGCAGGAGGTGCAGCACCAGGCATTTGTGCTCTTTTAGGAGATCCCCTTCAGCTGGCAAGGGAGTTGGAAGAGGAGAAAATAAAGAAGTAGAGAGAGAATTAGAGATAGAAATAGAAGAAAAATGAGCAAAGAGAGTCAGAAAAAAAATGGAGTGCCTGGGATTCAAGTATGTTAAAGTGGTTTGCTGGAGTTGTTGTAGTGCCAGGTACAGAGAGAGCCTGTACTGGAGAGGTAGTGCCAGGCACAGACAGAGCCTGTACTGGAGAGGTAATACCAGGCAGAGAGAGAGAGCCTGTACTGGAGAGGTAGTGCCAGGCAGAGAGAGAGCCTGTACTGGAGAGGTAATACCAGGCAGAGAGAGAGCCTGTACTGGAGAGGTAATGCCAGGCAAAGAGAAAGCCTTACTGGAGAGGTAGTGCCAGGCAGAGAGAAAGCCTGTGCTGGAGAGGTAGTGCCAGGCACACAGAGAGCCTGTACTGAAGAGGTTGTGCCAGGCAGAGAGAGAGAGCCTGTACTGGAGAGGTTGTGCCAGGCAGAGAGAGAGCCTGTACTAGAGAGGTAGTGCCAGGCAGAGAGAGAGCCTGTACTGGAGAGGTAGTGCCAGGCACACAGAGAGCTGTACTGGAGAGGTTGTGCCAGGCACAGAGAGAGCCTGTACTGGAGAGGTAATACCAGGCAGAGAGAGAGCCTGTACTGGAGAGGTAGTGCCAGGCAAAGAGAGCCTGTACTGGAGAGGTAATACCAGGCAGAGAGAGCCTGTACTGGAGAGGTAGTGCCAGGCAAAGAGAGCCTGTACTGGAGAGGTAGTGCCAGGCAGAGAGAGAGCCTATGCTGGAGAGGTAGTGCCAGGCAGAGAAAGAGCCTGTACTGGAGAGGTAATACCAGGCAGAGAGAGAGAGCCTGTACTGGAGAGGTAATGCCAGGCAAAGAGAAAGCCTGTACTGGAGAGGTAGTGCCAGGTAAAGAGAGCCTGTACTGGAGAGGTAGTGCCAGGCACAGAGAGAGCCTGTACTGGAGAGGTAGTGCCAGGCACACAGAGAGCCTGTACTGGAGAGGTTGTGCCAGGCACAGAGAGAGCCTGTACTGGAGAGGTTCTGCCAGGCACACAGAGAGCCTGTACTGGAGAGGTTGTGCCAGGCAGAGAGAGAGCCTGTACTGGAGAGGTAATACCAGGCAGAGAGAGAGCCTATGCTGGAGAGGTAGTGCCAGGCAGAGAAAGAGCCTGTACTGGAGAGGTAATACCAGGCAGAGAGACAGCCTGTACTGGAGAGGTAATGCCAGGCAAAGAGAAAGCCTGTACTGGAGAGGTAGTGCCAGGCAGAGAGAGAGCCTGTGCTGGAGAGGTAGTGCCAGGCACACAGAGAGCCTGTTCTGGAGAGATAGTGCCAGGCAGAGAGAGCCTGTACTGGAGAGGTTGTGCCAGGCAGAGAGAGAGCCTGTACTGGAGAGGTAGTGCAAGGCAGAGAGAGAGCCTGTACTGGAGAGGTAGTGCCAGGCAGAGAGAGAGCCTGTACTGGAGAGGTAGTGCCAGGCAGAGAGAGAGCCTGTACTGGAGAGGTAGTGCCAGGCAGAGAGAGAGCCTGTTCTGGAGAGGTAGTGCCAGGCACAGAGAGAGCCTGTACTGGAGAGGTAGTGCCAGGCAGAGAGAGAGCCTGTACTGGAGAGGTAGTGCCAGGCAGAGAGAGAGCCTGTACTGAAGAGGTTGATTTTCTCTTGGATATAATCATGCTTTAGGAATTAAAAGGTAGATAAATATGATCTAAGCCCCGATTCTGGATAGATTTAAACGGACAACGAACCTGGAACATTAAAGGACTTTTGAGATTTGGAACATGAAATGTATGAACCCTTTATAGAGCTGGAGCAGCTGAAGAACTGACCCGTGAGTTATCAAAATACAGAATGCATTTAACAGCAATTCAAGAAAAGATGACCAGGATAGGATACCATAGAGGACAATGGAATGATCAAAGTCTATGGAGGAAATACTCAAAACAAGCATGAACTAGTGACAGGGTTTGTTATCAAGAAAAGTTGTAAGAAAATGTTATAAACTTTGAAGCTGTTAGTGATAGGATCAGTAAGTTAGGAATAACAGGAAAATGGAAAAATATAACGATGATGAATGTGCATGCAGCCACTGAAGATAGAGAAGATGATATTAAAGAAGATTTCTAAGATCTCCTTGAGAATATCGTTGATGAAGCTGAAAAACAAGTCTTAGGAGATTTCAATGCAAAAATAGGAAGAGGAAACACCTACAAAAATGTAGCAGACATGGAAAGCCTACATACTAATTCAAATGATAATGGATGGAGATTAATCAACCTTGCCGTAAAGATAGGACTACAGATAAGCAGCACCAGATTTCAGAGAAAAGATAAACATAAACAAACCTGGCAATCATGTGACATGATAACTTATAATCAGATAGATCACATTTTATTAAAAAATAGAAATTCATTGAACTTTAACAAGTTAGAAGCTACTACCTGGTGGGTACAAAATTTAAAATCAAGTTAAACAAATCCTTCTACACCAAGTTACAAAGATCATGTCCAGAGTACAATAGAGAAAGATTACAAGAAACGTCCATGTGAGATAAATTTACAGATGAATTAAAACATAAAATTTAAATTTTAAAAATTCCCTCAGAGGAAGACGTTGACCAAAGCTGGATGGATATTATGAATATAAGGCAAATTTGGCTCAGTGTTACTAGTAACATACGAAATGAAAAAAATATAGAACAGAATGTAAAGTAGCTATAAAAGTAGTTCGGCACCAAAAGCGAGAATACATGAACAACATTGTCATGGATATGGAAGATAACCATCAGAACAACAAATCCAGAAAGTTTTTTAAAGAAGTGAAGACTGTAAAACATGGACATCAACAAAGCATTTATAGTTTAAAAGATCACAATGGGAACATGATAAATGATAATGAGGAAATATGTAACAGATGGAAGGAATACTTTGCTGAATTGTTAAACTGTGAGACTCCACTTAATACTTATCCACAGGAAGAGATATTGGTGTAGATCATGAGGCAGACCAAGAAGACGATAGGGAGATCATACCCAGACAGACCTGCAAATATTTGGTGTCATCATCTGGAAAGAGAAGACCCAGAGAGATGAATGGAGGCCGGTGAAATCTGCAGAAGTGAACTTTAAGGGCTCGCAGTGCTGAAGAAGAGGTCAAAGTGCTGAATTGGATTTGATCCCTGATATTGAAAACATTGCAAGGCTAGAATGCAGTGGAGGAGTGGACTGTAAGCATGGTGTGATGAATAAACAACCTAATAGGATGATGATGATGATAATAATCTTGATAGTGATGTTGTCTGTTAATGATGTAAACTGAGGGCTGTATGTTTTACCCACACAGAATTTCCAGAGCATTTTGAGCAGAAACCCCAGGAACAGTCAAGCCATGCACAACCTTTGTGTTGTGTATGTGGAGCGTGGAGACCTTCTTGGTGCTGAACAGTGTTTAGTGCAAACACAGCAGCTGGATCCAAATGCCCAGTATATCCAGAATCATCTGAACATTGTGCGCAACAAAATTGCTGAGGTTTGTATTCACACATTTGTGTCAGTTGCTTTAGTCACACACATTTGTGTCAGTTGCTTTAGTCACATTTGATATTGTAGTGTTTCATTCAGTAGATTATCCTCAGTCTTTATTGTGTATTTAATTAAAATTAGTTTTCATGAATAGTTTGTCGGCTCTGTGGCTAAGTCGATGCGACGCTTCGTAACGCCGGCATGCCTGGTTCGATCCCAGCTGCGGGCCATGTGCCTTGCGTTGGTTTCGACAGTGGTATCAAGAAAGCTGACCATCCAGAAAGCAATGGCAAACTACTGGAAGTAAATTTGCCTAGAAAAACCACACAACAGCCAGGGGCTGTTGGGGTTGGTTCTGCAACGTCCTGTAAAGGATACGATAGGAATAAACTCACAGGGAGCAAGTACAGCAGGGATCTACCAGTCATCAGTAGAAGTTATCCTCGTCGACAAGTGTTTCGGCCCACGATTCTCCTAGACACTTTCGGAGGTGGGCCCACCTGAGTTCATGAAGCTCAGGGCTGGTATACTGCTGCAGGAGATTACCAGATGGTGTTTTTCTTTCGGATAGGGACAAGACGACTTGGTGATTTGCAGAAGGTACTGTGAGATAAGAAGTCGTTGCGGCAGCCTAATTAGAACAGTCAGCACGCCTGGACGACCGAGCGACAAGCTTACGTTTGGTTTACCGGACACATGTTGGACTTTTGTTAGCAGGTGGCAGAGGAACGCTGGCAGACAATTCGGACACAATGGACTTTCAAAGGGTGAGAAACCCTTTTCCACTAGAAACCCGGACCAGCTCACCGAGGCCCGTCCCCTACGTTGTTGCGTTGCGTCCAAAGCCAGCTCGAGGCCCTTTCGGCTTCCTCGCCCAGTTTTTTAAGTGTTCGTTTCCGTTCATTACCGCGCATTTCTAGTTCTTTAACCACATTGTACAATAAAATGGAGACGAGACCTCGCGCTCCCACTTCGACAGCAAAGACATGTACCGTGTACGCCTCGTCTCTCCTCAGACCGGCTGCTAAGTCACAATATTTCTCGAGCTTATATGTGTGACTCTCGTCCATACGCGACTCATACGGGACGGTAAGCTCAATCAGGATGAGCTGCCGTTTTTCCGCAGAGTGGAGAACTATGTCAGGTCGCAGGCCGGTCTTCCGTATTAACTTGGGGTACCTTTCATGGCTTGGCAGATCAACCGCCAGTAACCAGTCACTCGCAGAGTCTAGCACAGATGGAGCGAATGCGTTTCGGTTGACCTCACCTTTTTGAATCTGCCCCGCCTTGAGAAAACGAATGGGGACGATGGTAGAACTGGCTCTAGCATTAGCCCTTATTCTAGCCTGGTCAACAACGGCTGCTAACTCTTTTAGCACCTTGTTGTGTCGCCAGGTATATCGGCCTTGACCTAGGGCTTTCCTGCACGCGGACAGGACGTGCTCAAGAGTCTGCTTCGCTTTGCACAACGGGCAAGTCGGATCGTTAGTCGCAGACCACTTAACCATGTTAACACCGGACGGTAATACATCGTACGCCGAACGAACGATAAAGCTCAGTCGCAGCGGGGTCATTCGCCAGATCTCACCCCATGTGAGTATTCTTGGCAATGCGCTCTCCAGGCTGACCCAATGGCCCTGCTGCGACTGCTGGGCTGCTTTATGGAAACGAACCTTGTTTTCGTTGTCCCTCACCGTTTGTATTACCATGTCTCGGCGTTCTTTGGCTGAGGCCTTTGACCACCAATTGACCTTTCCGTGCCCTAGGCCTCGACAGTCGGTTTGAGTGTATCCCATTATCTCCTTCAATTTTAGTGTGTTCTGCGCAGATTCAATCGCATCGAGGACCCTCCACTTCTGGCCAGTCTTTAGAGCGGGCTGGACAGCGATGACATTTGGGTCTGAAGACTCGCGCAAGAGCATGGCGAGTCTTACCTTGCCGACTTTAAACTCTTCTGTTATCGATTTGAACGGGAGTACCAGTTAACCTGCTTGCAATACAGAGCCACGTCAGTCAGACAAGGCAGTGCACTAATCCACTTTCTCAAGGCTGTGATGATTTTCCTCTCCATGGTTTCCACTGCAGTCATCGTCACCTCGTAGACTAACAGCGGCCAAAGGAGCTTCGGAATCAACATGAATTGGAGACACCATACCTTGAACTTCCTGACCAGCCTGCAACGCTCGATCGCGAGCAGGCCTGTAGCCAGTGACTCGTGTATTCGCCGGACCTCCTCTCTATCAGATAACTTCGAATCGTAAACGCGACCAAGGCTCTTCACCGGTTCATCCAGAACCGTGGGGATCTTGTTCCTTGCCACCGTAAAACTGGTTGCCGCCACTCGACCCTTAAGGATAGACAGACTACTCCACATCTGCGGTTTGAACCGCTCCATTGGACCACCGCGTCCAATCTTCCCAGGATCGTGCGGGCAGACTCCTCGCTGCCCGTTATAATAGTCGTGTCATCCATAAAGGCACGCAGTGGAGGCATCCAGTGATCCCCTATTTAAAGGCCCAGTCCGTAGCCGGCTGCCCCGTCCAACATGATCTGCATGGCCATGACAAACAGTACTGGTGAGATCGTACAGCCCATAGCTATCCCAATCTGCAGCTCAGTCCATCTCGTGGTAAACGTCGAGGTAGAGAAGCGCAAAGCAAACTTAGAGAAATATTGCTCGATCATATCATTGACCTGTGCCGGTACGTGGAACATGCGAAGGGCTCGCCACAGCAGCCTATGGGGGACTGCCCTGTAGGCGTTGGCTAAGTCTAACCATATAATGTGCAATTCGGTTCTCTCATGCTTGGCTCTCTGAATAGCCTCCCAAATCATGGTCGCGTGTTCAAGGCACCCAGGAACGCCCGGAATACCACCCTTCTGAACACTCGTATCAATGTACTTGTTCGCCATCAGATACTGTGTGAGCCATGACCGAGAAGAATACCTTACCCTCGACATTCAACAGCGAGATGGGCCTGAATTGGGAAAGACTCTTCGAGTCCTGCTCTTTGGGAATGTAGACCCCATTTGCCTTTGACCACTCTGGACATATGTGGTTACGGATCCACGCTTGTCTCAACAAGACGTGAAGCATTTTTAGGATTTTCGGCCAATGCTTGTAAAGAACGTACGGAACACCATTCGGACCTGGGGCAGACTTGCCGCTGGCCTTTTTCACAACTTCCTCAACCTCAGACCAAAGGGGAGGTATCATTTTAAATGGTACCTTCGGCAACTCAGGCTGTTTGAGGCCTCTAAGGATCTCTGGATTGTCATCGAGAGGCTCTCTCCTCTTTTTGTCAGAGTACATCTTGCGTAGATGTGACTCAAGCTCTTCCTGACTGACAACCAGAGTCCCAGACTTTGGTTGCTCGAATAGACCTTGGGCAAACTGATACGGGTCCCTAAAGAATTTCTCTCTCTCCCTTTTGGTTCTCCGTCTGTTGGCACAGAAACGCTCGGCGCGACAGAGGGCACTGTGTCTGTTCTTTAAATGCAACCAGACTTCATGCAGCCCCTCCCGTTCGCTACCTATAGCGGCTTTGAACCGTTTTCTGAGGGCATTCTTGTCTGCCCGACACTTAAGAATGTCCCTCTGCCTCCTGCTAGTATTCTGCTTGGCACCCGGCTGTGCCTTCTGCACTGTCCCGAACTCGCGGGAGCAGTGTTCATATATTACATCACCAAATTGTGTAAGCTTGTCGCCTAACGACTTCTTGTTTAAATCATGTTTAAGTATCTCACATAATGTAGCCTCCAACTTACACCATACCACCCTATCGCTCGCAGGTGGAAACCTAATCTTGGAACGCACTTCCTCAGAAATCATCAAAGTTGCTCCTTCGCAGTCGACGTCATGGGCCTCTCCGGGCGAGTGGGGTTCACCCAGCCCGTCGTTCCCTGACGACTCAGAAACTACCACAGGAATAGTAGTTTTGCAACGGCGTTTACTGCGTGGTGCACCCTCGCATTTCATTCTTCCGGCATGCGTTCTCAGACCATGCAACCCCATGAAGCTCTTTCCACATGTACAGAGCCAGCCCGGACGTTTGAGCGAGTATCTGAGTCCGGGGGCTAGCATTGTCGTCACCAAGAGTATCAATTTGATTGGGCCCTTCATTCTCCCCCCCCCCCCCTTTCGGAGGGCCCTGGGGGCATATTTCTATATTGGTTAACGCAATCGGAGGTATTATACTGTGTTAGGGGTGATCAACCCGGTCCACAGTCGACATCTGTCTCCAGATGTCAGTTTATCCCCCCGGCGATACCGGGGGGCCAGTCTTTCCATAGGTGTCACAAGGTCTTTCCCGAGAGTCACCAGTCTTTCCTGGTAGTCTTGTGGGCTAGCCACGTACAATAGGAATAAACTCACAGGGAGCAAGTACAGCAGGGATCTACCAGTCGTCAGTAGAAATTATCCTCGTCGACACGCGTTTCGGCCCACGATTCTCCTAGACACTTTCGGAGGTGGGCCCACCTGAGTTCATGAAGCTCAGGGCTGGTACTCTGCTGCACGAGATTACCGGATGGTGTTTTTCTTTCGGATAAGGACAAGACGACTTGGTGATTTGCAGAAGGTACTATGAGATAAGAAGTGGTTGCGGCAGCCTAATTAGAACAGTCAGCATGCCTGGACGACCGAGCGACAAGCTTACGTTTGGTTTACCGGACACATGTTGGACTTTTGTTAGCAGGTGGCAGAGGAACACTGGCAGACAATTCGGACATGATGGACTTTCAAAGGGTGAGAAACCCTTTTCCACTAGAAACCCGGACCAGCTCACCGAGGCCCGTCCCCTACGTTGTTGCGTTGCATCCAAAGCCAGCTCGAGGCCCTTTCGGCTGCCTCGCCCAGTTTTTTAAGGGCTTTCCTGCACACGGACAGGACGTGCTCAAGAGTCTGCTTCGCTTTGCACAACGGGTAAGTCGGATCGTTAGTCGCAGACCACTTAACCATGTTAACACCGGGCGGTAATACATCGTACGCCGAACGAACGATAAAGCTCAGTCGCAGTGGGGTCATTCGCCAACTCCTATTCACCAACAACCAATACTTTTTTGGGACTTTTTACAGTAGAGCATCTGGGAGGAAGGCAAGAGGAAGACCAAGAAAGAGATGGATAAATGATGTATCTGAAACCTGCAAAAAAAAGATGAATAAATCCATCACTCAAGTCACCGGAGAAGTGCAAGACAAATACAGAAAACCTTGACACTGGGCTAGAACCTGGTATCTGTGAGATGACAAAACCATGACACTGGGCTAGAACCTGGTATCAGTGAGGAGACAAAACCATGACACTGGGCTACAACCTGGTATCAGTGAGATGACAAAACCATGACACTGGGCTACAACCTGGTATCAGTGAGATGACAAAACCATGACACTGGGCTACAACCTGGTATCTGTGAGATGACAAAACCATGACACTGGGCTACAACCTGGTATCAGTGAGGAGACAAAACCATGACACTGGGCTACAACCTGGTATCAGTGAGATGACAAAACCATGACACTGGGCTACAACCTGGTATCTGTGAGATGACAAAACCATGACACTGGGCTACAACCTGGTATCGGTGAGACAGTGAGAGACCAAGAAGGCACAGAGTTCCAATTTGATGGCACAAGTAACCATCTGATTGTTTGTCCATCTTGCCCCTCCCCTGAGTATGGGGTGTTGGCCAGATCCCCTAGCTACATCTCCCTGCACCATTCTCTTCAGACCTTGATCTGTTTGTGCCTCTGCACGCTTGACTCGCTCCCAAACAACATCTAACTTGTTGTGAATCAGTGTACCACCAAATAATGGAGAACCAGCCATCCATCTGCCATTTGCCACCACACTGGAACAGTAACTACCTGGCAGCTCTGAACTAATGCCACTCTCCATGATGCTTACCTGTATGCACTTTTCTCAGCATGCTCTGTGAGTCAGGTACGGTCACAACATGTGTGTGCAGCTGGTTTTCTAACCAGCAGAAGGCTGCGGTGATGCCTCCACCTCCATTCTCAAACTAGATGTTGTTGTATTATATGCCAGGCCTTGTTTGCACTAAGCGACATTTATTCGCTTTTGCTATAGATCCCCATGCATAACTGCCTCGCAGCGGACAGGGAACACCTTCTTCATGATGCCTTGTGGGATAGTAAAGGACACCAGCTGAAAAGAGGAAGCTCTTGGCTGGCACAGGCATCAGTCTCCATTAGAAAGTTTTTGCTGCTGACCAGATAGTGCACAGTGAGGAATGGGTTACAGTTCTGCCTAGAAAAACTGCCCTGCATACAGCAACAGGGGCTGCTGGGAAGGGATAGCTGGTGAAACAGAGGCTTGATGTAACAGTTGATCAATTAAAATTCACATCCAGGTGACAGATGGGTCTATAGTGAGAGTTAAAAAGAGTCGGTGGGGTTTTATTGCAAAGGTGAATGGACAATGTTTAAAACAGAGAACCTCATGTATCACGTCACAACATCCAGTAATGGCAGCTTTCTGATAGCTTGAGAGCAGAGCCCGACATGTTGTACTTGTAATGGACAGACAGAGAATCAATACCGTGACAGACTGATTCAAATGGCGGGGCCACATGTTGTACTTGTAATGGACAGACAGAGAATCAATACCGTGACAGACTGATTCAAATGGCGGGGCCACATGTTGTACTTGTAATGGACAGACAGAGAATCAATACCGTGACAGACTGATTCAAATGGCGGGGCCACATGTTGTACTTGTAATGGACAGACAGAGAATCAATACCGTGACAGACTGATTCAAATGGCGGGGCCACATGTGTTGTACTTGTAATGGACAGACAGAGAATCAATACCGTGACAGACTGATTCAAATGGCGGGGCCACATGTTGTACTTGTAATGGACAGACAGAGAATCAATACCGTGACAGACTGATTCAAATGGCGGGGCCACATGTTGTACTTGTAATGGACAGACAGAGAATCAATACTGTGACAGACTGATTCAAATGGCGGGGCCATTAGAGGTTCTGGAAGACATTCAACACAGACAAATGTCAGCAAACTGGTGGAGCACATAAATGTCAGCAAACTGGTGGAGCACGTAAATGTCAGCAAACTGGTGGAGCACGTAAATGTCAGCAAACTGGTGAAGCACGTAAATGTCAGCAAACTGGTGGAGCACGTAAATGTCAGCAAATTGGTGGAGCACGTAAATGTCAGCAAACTGGTGGAGCACGTAAATGTCAGCAAACTGGTGGAGCACGTAAATGTCAGCAAACTGGTGGAGCACGTAAATGTCAGCAAACTGGTGGAGCACGCGCGGGAGTGCAGTGATGACAATTTGTGATTTGATTCATTCATTATTGATTCACTTTGCAACAAAGATACAATGATTATTAAACATTAACAATAACTGTCAGTATTGAAATTTTGTAATAATTTTATAATGTAACTATACCAAATGCCTTATTAACAAGATATCTTATTTTCAAATTTAGGTCAGAAAACATACACCCAAACCGCACAATCAAGCCAATAAAAATCCCCAGGAACATTTGCACTTAGATGCAAAACAGCAAGCACAACAAGCTGTGAAAGGAACGTAGATAATGCTTAATTTGTTGGTTGACAAGAATTCATTGTGTGCACGTACACATACACGTGTGTGCCGTGTTCTTGTGATTGTTCAGTAATACATCGTTTTTTCAATTGTAGTAGTTAACTGACTACCTGCATAAGTATTTTATGCTGTGGCTGGATTATTTTCATTTTTATACCATACCATCTCCCTCCCCCCCCCCCCCCCCCCCCCCCCCCTCAATGGAGCATTGGTTATCAACCAGTTCATGCCAGGTTGTCCTATCCTTTGCTATCATATGCAGCAGCTCTCGTGTTCAACCCATCTTGTTAACTGCACTTCTAGTTCCCTTTTCTGTGTTTTTTATCTGCATGGTAGCACTTTGTGTCACTGGGTGTTAATCGCTTGTGTGATGTACTGGTGGGGTACAGCTCACATACATACATACATACATACATACATACATACATACATACATACATACATACATACATACATACATCACAGCACTCTGAACAGATCCACAGATGCTCCAATCTACTCCCTAAAAAGTCCATAGGTGTAAAACGACTAATGATGCCTGTTCTGTGTTGATTAATGAAACGTTTAGTGTTCTTAGGAAAATGTTCATTTCTCACAGCTCTATGCTGCAGCCACATGTCCATCAGCCTAGAGAGGAATACAGAGTTATGTTCCCTGGTTTGCTCCTCGCTTCGGTAAGTGCTGCTCATGACAACAAAAACATGGCTTCTGTCTAATACTGGACCAGACATAGCAACCGCAATGTCGGCAAGATGATCTGTACGCTCGTACTCTTGAACACCTGCATGACCCGGCACAAAGATACAGGTTAAGGCAGCCATTCATGAAGTGCTAAGCATTGCAATACATTCTTGTCTGATAAAATCAGCCTGGATATTTGTTAGCCTATTCATCGAGTCATTAAGTATGCACGCTTTTGTAAACCAAGCAATGCTAATGCCCTCGTTACAACCATAGTTTCCATTGTAAGGCTGCTGGTTGTAACATCAAGGGCACCATTTATCTCCTTGATGGTTTTCCCCCTTGAGCTTACTGTGAATGTCCAAGTACTTCACTTGCCCCGAATTACAGATCCATCTGTGTAAACTACAGCATCACTTTCATCTGTGTTTTCATCAATCAGTGTTCTGACTATAGTGTTAACAATGCCAGGAATCTGCTCTCTACAGCTTCCATCAAGTGTGATATGGACTGTAATATTAATGTTAAAAGTAGGAGGCATAATTATCCATTCAAATCCAAAATTATTGTCAGTAAGGCGGCAAACATGTTCGATGGCATCCTCAGCCCGATCCATCCAGATTTCCTTGTTTAAGTTTTTTCTTTCTGTTGAGACAAAATGCCTAAAGCTACCAGCAACATCAAATGTACTCCAGATGTCCTTTGCTTATTTTCATCTGTTTCAAAGGGTAAAGTTTCACAAAATATGGAGGTGGGTTTTTTAAAACAACATTTAAAAAAAAAAAAAGCAATCTGTAACGATTGTGACAGGGCGATCGTGTTAAACAGTATTGGAAAACTGAGAAGGAAGTGCAGGAGACAGCAACAGATCCGATGATTTGGTGTCTGTTTGTTGAGGGCCTATGTTTTAAGAGATAAAAGGCAGAAGAAGTTGTATCATACTATATTGCAGAAGGTCCTCAGTAAATGGAGAAACATTTGAACATTTTTAAATACAGTATTACAATATTAACAAACTGCTTAGAATTAAAACAGTATTTTCCCCAATTTGGGTTCAGGGGCACCCATACAGGGAAAACAAGAATAGACCCACTACCTACCCAAAAGCAAGTCATAAGAGTTGACTAATTGGGAGCTTCCTTCAAAGTCAGAGTTCATCTGCCTGAGAGGCAAGGAACCAGCAGTCTGCATACAAATGAGTCAGATCTGTCAAATGGATACACACGCAACACTCAGGTTCTGGAACAGGACTAGAGTCCAGAGGTAGACAAACAACCAGAACTTTCCACCAGAGTTTACAGCTGGTGAAGAAGAAGAAGATAACAGTATTTCTGCATTGTAAATTGGAATTCAGAAGAGAACATTAGATTGCACAATTTATTACCAGGCAGTTACTTTTGACTGTGGTTGATTTTATTGTCAAGGATTCATTTGTGACTGTAGCATGGACCTGATGAGATATAGAGAAATATGCTGGACTGTAAAGTGTTATCTATTGTTTTATGTCTTCTCTGTTCATATTTCTTCTTCTTCTTCTTCTTCTTCTTCTTCTTCTTCTTCTTCTTCTTCTTCACATTTGCAAGCTGAAAGTTCTGGTGGTTCATCTACCTCTGGACTTGAGTCTTGTTCCAGAACCTGAGTTGTTGGGGAGGCTGTGGGTCCTGGAACCCACATGGGTACTGTCCATATTTAGAATTAATCAATGTAACATTTTATGGTCTTCAGGGGAAAACATTACATTGTCATTGACAATAACATATTTGATGGAATTAATGTATGTGGTCTTATGCTTTAAATGGCAGGGAAGTGATAGGCAAGAGACAGTCCAAGAAATACAAGCAACTGTAGATAAAGTGACTGACTGGTGTGCAGAAATGGGTGCTGTCATCAGTCCGGTTAAAACTGCTGATTTATGGTGCTCTCTGGACAATAGAATTGTAAGAGCTGATGTTGCATGTCTCACAACTAATGATAGAAACATCAACAGAGAAAGCAGACTCAGGTACCTGGCTATCACTTTCAATAGAAACCTGTCCTTCAGGGATCATCTAGAGGCAGTTGTGGTGAAATGCCAAAAAAGACTCAATGCACTTAAGGTTATGGCAGCAGCGGACTTGGAATGTTGTTCACAATGTCTGATCCTGTCAGTGATAGATTATGGACATGGAATGTTGTTCACATTGTCTGATCCTGTCAGTGATAGATTATGGACATGGAATGTTGTTCACACTGTCTGATCCTGTCGGTGATAGATTATGGACATGGAATGTTGTTCACAATGTCTGATCCTGTCAGTGATAGATTATGGACTTGGAATGTTGTTCACAATGTCTGATCCTGTCAGTGATAGATTATGGACTTGGAATGTTGTTCACAATGTCTGATCCTGTCAGTGATAGATTATGGACTTGGAATGTTGATCACAATGTCTGATCCTGTCGGTGATAGATTATGGACTTGGAATGTTGTTCACAATGTCTGATCCTGTTGGTGAAATATTATGGACTTGGAATGTTGTTCACAATGTCTGATCCTGTCGGTGAAATATTATGGACTTGGAATGTTGTTCACAATGTCTGATCCTGTCGGTGAAATATTATGGACATGGAATATTGTTCACAATGTCTGATCCTGTCGGTGAAATATTATGGACTTGAAAGGCTTTCCATATCAAAGTGTCAGCTGATGAAACTTGAATTCATACAGAATAAAGTGATGAGAGTAGTTCTGGGATGTACAAGATATACCCCAATAGTATGAATGTGAATATACTTACGCTGTCGACTGTTACAGATAGGCTCAAACTGCTGCAAGCAAAGTCATCTTAGAGTAGCCGCAGTTAAGAAACATCTCCTGCATGAAGCCCTAGAGAGAGAGAGCTATGGGTCACAGACTGGAAAGAGGAAGATTTTGGTTTGGGCAAGCTGAAGAAACAATCAGACATGTGTGTAGGCGTGATAACACTGGGCAAGGAGAGGTGTGTAGGCGTGATTACACTGGGCAAGGAGAGGTGTGTAGGCGTGATAACACTGGCAAGAAGAGGTGTGTAGGCTTGATAACACTGGGCAAGGAGAGGTGTGTAGGCAGGATAACACTGGGCAAGGAGAGGTGTGTAGGCATGATAACACTGGGCAAGGAGAGGTGTGTAGGCGTGATAACACTGGGCAAGGAGAGGTGTGTAGGCGTGATAACACTGGCAAGAAGAGGTGTGTAGGCTTGATAACACTGGGCAAGGAGAGGTGTGTAGGCGTGATAACACTGGGCAAGGAGAGGTGTGTAGGTGTGATAACACTGGCAAGAAGAGGTGTGTAGGCTTGATAACACTGGGCAAGGAGAGGTGAGTAGGCATGATAACACTGGGCAAGGAGAGGTGTGTCGGCGTGATAACACTGGGCAAGGAGAGGTGTGTAGGCGTGATAACACTGGACAAGGAGAGGTGTGTGGGCGTGATAACACTGGGCAAGGAGAGGTGTGTGGGCGTGATAACACTGGGCAAGGAGAGGTGTGTGGGCGTGATAACACTGGGCAAGGAGAGGTGTGTGGGCGTGATAACACTGGGCAAGGAGAGGTGTGTGGGCGTGATAACACTGGGCAAGGAGAGGTGTGTGGGCATGATAACACTGGGCAAGGAGAGGTGTGTGGGCGTGATAACACTGGGCAAGGAGAGGTGTGTGGGCGTGATAACACTGGGCAAGGAGAGGTGTGTAGGCGTGATAACACTGGGCAAGGAGAGGTGTGTAGGCATGATAACGCTGGGCAAGGAGAGGTGTGTGGGCGTGATAACACTGGGCAAGGAGAGGTGTGTAGGCGTGATAACACTGGGCAAGGAGAGGTGTGTGGGCGTGATAACACTGGGCAAGGAGAGGTGTGTAGGCGTGATAACACTGGGCAAGGAGAGGTGTGTGGGCGTGATAACACTGGGCAAGGAGAGGTGTGTAGGCGTGATAACACTGGGCAAGGAGAGGTGTGTAGGCGTGATAACACTGGGCAAGGAGAGGTGTGTAGGCATGATAACACTGGGCAAGGAGAGGTGTGTAGGCATGATAACACTGGGCAAGGAGAGGTGTGTAGGCGTGATAACACTGGGCAAGGAGAGGTGTGTAGGCGTGATAACACTGGCAAGAAGAGGTGTGTAGGCTTGATAACACTGGGCAAGGAGAGGTGTGTAGGCGTGATAACACTGGGCAAGGAGAGGTGTGTAGGTGTGATAACACTGGCAAGAAGAGGTGTGTAGGCTTGATAACACTGGGCAAGGAGAGGTGAGTAGGCATGATAACACTGGGCAAGGAGAGGTGTGTCGGCGTG